CTCTTCTCTTCTCTTCGTACACTGACATTGCGCATTTTCCACTAGGTGTTATTCTGGTGAGCCATGATGCTAGGTTGATCCTAGAAACTGAGTGTCAACTATGGGTCGTGGAGGACAAGAATATTTCAGAAGTAGACGGCACCTTTGATGATTACAGACAAGAAATCCTCGAAAAACTTGGAGAAGAAATGGTTTCGAAATAAAAGAAAAATGAATGACGCCCCGAATATGGATAACATGCGATGGAAAATAAACCAATAATGGAATATGAAAAGGAGTTCACCCGGAGAAATGGCTGTTGAACAGTCAGAAGAATAACATTTTACACACATAAGATAATCAAACCTTGATATTCTTGACGAAAACCAAGTAAATGCGCCACTTTCAGTCTTCTCTCATTTCTGGTTTTTCCCTCGATTTCTGCCATAGTAATAAATGCACGACTATGCTAAACTGAAACCCGTTTAAACTATTCTTGTCAAAGTCATTATAAATTTATGCCCAAATTCTTATATGGCTAACCTTTGTTTTCAAACTTCGTTGGATTTACGTTCACTCAGTCTCACTTTTATAAGCCACGCTCCGTAAGAAGAAGAAAAAAGAGTAAAAATCCAATTGCGCAATAAATACTAAATCAGAGAGATTCGTTTTGTGTGGATTCTTGTACTTGGAATTTCTGGTCCCTCCCGCATAAATCTTTTGCATAAATATATCTAGATCAAGAAGCTTTATTATTATATAATTACCAATGAAATATCTATTTTTCTCTATTTCGAAAAATTGATATCTTCACACGTGAAAAAAACATGTTATTTTCACGTGTGAAAATAACACCATTGCGATGGCTATTCGAAAATACACGAAAAGAATTGCCTGAAAAAGCCAAAACATACTTTCATTGATAATCATATAATAAACAGAATATTACATGGGCGCTTGGAGATACGAAATTTATCTTCTCGTGTTGAAAATCTCTCACTCGTTCGCTGCGCTCACTTGTGAGAGATCTTTTCAACACTCGAAGATAAATTTCGTATCTCCGCGCGCCCATGTAATATCCTCTATTTACTAGCAATATCTAGTAAACTAAATACCAATCAAAACGTTTACACACCATGAATGGATCCATAAATAGAGACAGATAGAGAAATACAAATTTCGTTTCAATTTAAAATATCTTTGTAGTACTACGCGATCCAGATGAGTTTCAGACGAGTTTTGCATGTAAGAACGGATTATAAAATTCTTATTTACCAAATTATGTTTAAAACGTCGTGCAGTTGGATCTTCATCATCTCCATCTTCAGTAGACTAAAAGACAGATGAATTTGCCCATACCCCCCCCCCCCCCCCCCCCCCCTCCCTCTCTCTCACCCGACAGGACCGTCTTCTTCACGCTTGGCATATGGTGGCCAGTAGTACCAACCATTAGTGACAGTTGCTTTGGTTACCGTCTCGAGCCACCTTAACACATCGTTCCTAATGTTTTATTTATATCTGAGAGGTTACCAAGTCGTTCTAATTATAATTTTTTTTTGGAGTTCTTTGGCTGTAGGCGATTAAAAATTCTTTTTTACAAAATTCAGCTGAAACCCTAGTCTTAGACACCTTTTTCTGGGTCTCGGAATGATATTTTCATGGTTGGAAGCGATCAAGTCTTCCTACTCGATCCGGTGGAGTTTTTTCGACTTGGCTATTATTTATTGAGCAAAAAGTGGCCATGGCTGAGCGCGAAATCGTTGTTCAAGTTCTTGGGATTATTTTAATCACGATTTCTAGTAATATCATCGTTGAAGGCAAAGGTAAGCTTAAGCTTTACCGGGCATTTGCTATACAGTTTAATGTTGTCTTAAATTAATGTGTAAATCGTATTTGAACGATGTTTTAATAGCAGAATAACAAACAATGAGTTTATATATACTGCTGAGGTCGTACGAATTTATCATAAAGATTCGTTGGAGCTCAAAATTTTCTGTTTTTCTTTCTTTCTTGGGCACTAGTTCAATTATTTATTAGTCTTTTGACGTCCTTTCTCTTTATCCAAGGCTGACATTTATTTTTTTAGTTTGAACTTGAATCAGCCTTTAGTAAGCTTATATTTCATCATAACAATCAAGTGGCTCGCGGCCATGCAAGGGAGTATATAAAATAAGGTGGATGTCGAAAATAATGGTGATGTTTTTTCTGTTTCTGTACAAAGTGCTGATCATAGAATTGCAGAGCCATAGTCCTTATAGGTCGATTGCTTGAACACATGGCTGTCGACTTTCTGTTTATTTTTATGAAGCTAATTTGTCTGCTGAAAGATATGAACAGTGGTGTAAGATAGATAAACTTTATTAAAAGTGTCAAGTTATTTAGCTTACATGTAAGCTTACATGTAGTTTAGTAAAAGAGGAAGCATTTCATTTTAGGGGAGATCACCTACGTTTTAGCTGGGGAATGTTAGTGAATGTTGCAAAGATGCTTCACGTGTAGGAGCGTACATGGCAGGTGGCACATACAGTATATGTATAAGAGATGGAACATTGTTCACGGGTAGGGTCTGGATTAAGGTCAACTCAGTGGTAGATAGGAGATAGGGAAATGCAGGGGTAGTGAATGTGTCGACAATGGGGAGGGATATCGTTTGAAAGAGGCAGGAGTCATTCCACAGGAGGATAGGATAATGCTAAGGGCATAGTATATTTTAGTAAAGGGAAAAGCATTATTTATGCTAAATATGGCAAAAACGTTTATAGTCTGATAATTTGTTTCATTGCATTTTTTAGGTTGTAACAACACCACCCAGGGGCCCTTCAAGTGCAAATGCCCCTGTGCACCAATGCGCTTGTCAAAATGTTTTTTACCTAGAGACAACCRTAAGAATGTAGAGGCTCTGTGTGTTTGCCGCAAAGGCCATCAAGGGGTCTTCTGCGACCAGTGTCAAAACGGCTGGTACCAAAATGGAAATTTTTCAGATCCAAAAAACTTCTGTGTTCCTTGTAACTGTAGTGAGAACTTAAACCTTAAAAAGACAAACAGCTGTGATCCATTTACTGGAGAATGCCTGCACTGCCTACCTCATACCAGGGGAGAACACTGTGAATTTTGTGCACATGGTTACCATGGTGATGCTGTTGGTGAGAGGAACTGTACTGCACTTGGTGGTGCATATGCAGGCAATCAACAAGGTAAGCATCTTGAATTGTGTGGTCGATTTTTTAACGTCCAAGTTTTTTTTGGGTCTTTTTTCATTGCTACATAATTGTTAAGATGAAAGTCGCATCCCAGGAATTTATAATGCAATGTACTGCTGTGACAATCAAGGTAAATTGTCCAGTTCACATATAGCAATGAAAATGGCTGGAAAAATAGTATTAGAGTCAATTGATCGTTTATTGCTGCATTTTACTCTAATATTCACAGGAACAAAGCATATCAACAAAGATGTAATAATCATAGCAACATGCTCTTCAATAGGAGTGGTATGTCTGGTCGCCATTATTTACCTATTATATCATCGCCACAAAACCCATGGCTTCAAAAACGGGCGTATTCCTAAATTCTGGACAGTTGAGCTTACAAATCGGAATTACAATGACTTGGATTTTTCTTTACTCGATTCAGTGAGTGATACGCCATTTGTGTATCGTAATGACGCTAGTGACTTTGAAGAGGCCTTGATAGCTGACGAGGGGTCAAAAGCCAGGTTAAAAATTGGTATGGACACATCTTTTGCAGAAAACTTCAATACTTCTTTTTGATACATATAAATTAGTTTTAGCCTCTTGCTGTAGCGTGTCAGTCTGTAGTATGTGTTGACTGGGTTGGTTTGGGTTTAAATATCAAGTTGATAGTAATATTGGTTTACATATTTTTTTATATAAAATATTTGCATGTATAGGT